ACCCCACCAGATGGACTTGAACCAGTGCCCAGTCTACAAAGAGGAGGGTCATCACAGAGGGATCATTTCCTCCATGCTTCCAAGCGAAGCCAATCATGGTCAAGCAGGACCTTTGACTTATCTTCACATAAATGGAACTGGTAAAAGAAAGGAGCCAGGGGCTCCTCCCAAGCCCTGTGAACCCTGAGGAACAGATCATCAAATAATCTTGAGAGTAAAAATAAATTGGTTTATCTGGGCCAACTGTATGGACTTAAACACCCTAAAGGAAAGTATAACCAAAGATTAAATGGGCCAATATTATTTCTTAAGCATGCATATACATAGCTAAAGGCTACATAACAAACAACAATGCCAGATAGGAGATGCCTTCTTTTGAGTTGTTGGCCAGGGTGGCCAAAGGGACTCCCAGATAGTAACCCAGCATAGAATTGGGAAAATGAACAGCAGACCCCAATCTTATCTAAAGGAATATTGACAACCGATTGCTGCTAGATGAGGAACAGCTGACCCTCCTAAAACAAAGACCTGTAAATAGGCTGACTGGATTTACCAGAAGGGCAAGTACTGGGGAACAGCTGGGGGTGCCGACAACAAAGCAGACAGTAGCAGGGATACCAGAGTATAAGGGTTCTAGTTGGGCGAGGGAGGTTATGGAGGGTGCCATCTGGGAAGTGGGTGTACAGTTGAATAAGATGTTTTGGGATGTTCTGTGTGATACACACACACACACACACACACACACACACACACACACACACCAACAAATTTTTAAAAATGTATTATATTTGAGGAGGAACCATGGAAATTTATGCCATGCTAATTAGTAGAGGTGATAAACATTGCCATTGGAATCTACCTGATGGCTTTATAGGCATACACAGGCACCAAGAATCCAAGTACAACCTATTATGGCTACTAATAATCAGATACATACAGATTAGAGATGCATGAGCCAACATCTCAGTGTTAGTAGCAAAAACAATGAGTCTTTCTGCAAGGAACAATATATTCTAAAATGAAATGGAGATCTTTTTTAAAGGTTAAAAACTCATTCAGTTTTATGTCTTACAGAGCTTATACTGAGTTCAATATTGTATAACTGTATTAATTCAACTGTGAACCTAGAAACTTGCAGCCACTTGTGAAAGAGATGTACTCTTGCTCTGGAGTATGTTACTGAATGCGTTAAAGCTGTAGTTATTAAAAAATAAAAAAAAGATTAAAAAACTAAAAAAATAGTTCTTCAAAGCATAAAAATTTTCTCCTTAATAATTGGTGGATGTGAAAAACATTACCATTGAAATCTACGTGATGACTTTATATCCATGCTTAGATGCCAAGGAGCTCAGAAAGTAACCAACTGTGACTAGTAATAATCCGATATATAGATTAGAAATGCATGTGCAAACATCTTAGTGTCAATTGCATTAATAAAATGAATTTTTCTGTATGAAACTGTATTTTAATAATGAAATGGGGATCGTTTTTAAAGGTTAAAACCTCATTTAATTTTCTGTCTTATAGGGTTTATGCTGAGTACAATATTGTATAACTGTAATAATTCAACTGTATACCTAAAAATTTAAGCCAATTTTGAAAGAGATGCATCTTAGCTTTAAAAACTATTATTGAATATGTCAGTGCTGTTGTAATGAAATGCTTCTTCTAAGTATGTGGTTATTAAATAAATA